CTCTAACTGCCTACTGGACAGCTCTAGTTGAATTTCAAGAGCCTTCAATGTCCTGCATCCCAAACTGTATCCCATACATATGTATGGGAACCCCACATACATGAAAGAGTCAGACATGGAAAGAGAAAATGAGGTATCATTTGCATTCTGAGCTAAGAATGAGATAAGGCACCTTAGGGCTTCTGAGGGAAGGAAGGTCATTCACAGGACAATAAGAAGAGCAAATGGTCAGTAATTAGAAGTTTGCCCTGTCCTATCAATAGGTCATAAGAAGTTATTTCTGGTGATAACTTCTATTATATACAAGGCCTCAATTTAAATTCTTTAAGGGACAGGTAGAAACTTTTTTCTTAATCTCACAGGGTCTTGATTACCTTCAGCTGAAAATAATCCACATGCCAAAGTAGCACGTCCTGGGAAGGCCTGTTCTGAACCCTTCAAACACAGTTATCCCAACCAGGTTCTCCTCTCATGTTTTCAGTCTTGGTTAGACAATCTCCATTCACAGTGCTACTTGAATTAGCATACAGATAATCATTTGTTCATCTTCCTCATCCTCAGATGCCCAATGTAGGAATCACTGTGAAACCCAGCTATTCTTTTCCCATGCACATTATCTTTGCTCAGATCATTTCATATTTTATTCAGACTTTCAGAAGAGCTTTCTTACTAGAGCTTCTGACTCCAGGCTTTCCTCGCTCCAGTATTCCCTTTCTATCACAGTGTGACTATGAAATTTTGTGTATATGGATGGCTGTGTTTTCAAGTAGATTACAAATCACTTGAAGACCAGGAAGATGTCTCTCTATTTATCATGTACTCCATGACATGGTTTTTAGCATACAGTAGGTGCTCAGTAAATGTTTCTTGCTTATTGGACCCGAAGGTGGGGCAGATGGGGAAGAAGAATTGCCAAACAATAAGAGCATTCATGCCAAACTATACATATTCTGTAAAATTATTTGTAATTAATAAGAGAGAAAAAAGGCAGGAGCTCTGAGAAAAATGTCAACACACCTTGCTACCTATGGAGGAATGGGCATTTTCTTATATATTTAACTGTCATTTATCACAGAAATTTTCTGAATCAAACAACTGAGTTAGTGAGTGAAC